GCTTTCCTTAAGGTGCGGCTTTAGACTGAGTGATTTGGGATAATCACACAGAGGAAGTTCTGATGAAAACCTAGTAGAATCAAGTAGGGAATATACATGATTCTAGTCTGCTCTATATACTGTTGTCCATGTGCACAGACCAATACTACGTTTGGTAGGTAGATGTAAGTGTGTCTATATAAGGGCATCTTATCTGATGCCATGCGGTCGCTTATCTATACATGAGGCTTATCATGCCTCTCTTATCTGTCCTCAAGGCGTAGCATGCCTTGGAGTCTAACTGCGCATGCTGCGGCATGCGGCTTCTCTTCTGACCATGAGGCAGAGCTTCCATCCGGATCGAGGACCTTCTAGGTCCATCCAGATGTAGCCTAGGCTGGTCTAACTGCGCATGCTGCGGCATGCGGCTTCTCTTCTGACCATGAGGCAGAGCTTCCTCATGATCCGGATCGAGGACCTTCTAGGTCCATCCAGATGTAGCCTAGGCTGGTCTAGGTCATCTAACGGCATCCAGGCCGTTCTAGGCGTCTCTACGAGTCTTCGTTGAGTCGGTAAGTCTTCCAAGACGGTGCATATGGTGGGATAGGGGCTAAGGTCATGATGACCTCCGTAGGAGGGGTTCTCGGTTAAATGTTATTGTAACATTACCTCCGTTTCTGGGTCGAAGTCGCCGACTACGACAAAACTCTCTTCCGGGTTTCTTCGTCTGGAGTGGCAGTATTACTGCGGGTATCAATGGGAGTGGGCGAGCGCGGCGCGGGGTTGTTCTCGATTAGTTCTTCTAGCGCAACGTGGTTCTTCTCCCAATCTACGAGGAGTTCGTAGTATTCCTCGTCGTCTCGAAACTCTGGGAGGCATGATACTTCTCCGAGTTGAGGGCAGTGGACCGACAGGTGGTCGGGTCCGATTTCGTTGCAGACGCAACACACAGCGTCTGGACACTTTCTAAAGTTGTGTCCGTATCCTCCGCATCGTCGACAGATGCAGGTGCGGTTTACTCGCGTTTTCTTGGTAGGGCGCGAGGGTCTTAACTTTTCTCCAACGCGTTTCTTCGCGATGTCTACGAGGTCGCTGAAGTTGTCGGGGAGTAAGTGGAGCGCCATTGCGCGGATCTTCTTCTGGTCTTCCAGCACTATGAGGGCTCTAGTTGCTGGGTCTAAGTCTTCACGGTTCACCGATAATTCTAGGTGTCGCGTGGTGCGGATAATGTCTATCACCAATGATGCAGAGGCGGCGATGTTGACATCTGACTGTCCTAGGATGTCGCTGATCTCTAGGAAGTGGTCTGGGGAGAGAATGGCCGTTTCGGCGACGACGCCTTTCTCGAGGTGGTCGAGGATTTTGGAAAATCCCGAGTTCTTTAGGGGAACGATGGTAGAGGCTTCGATGTTGTTAGGCATGATTGTTGCGAGAGTTTCTGGCGAGTATATTGTTGTAGAGGGTTTATATGGGCCTCCAAGAGTGCTTTAAGCTCCGCTTGATCAGTTAACTTATCTTTTTTAATCTCTTTATCAAAGTTCAATCATGAAGGCGTGGAGTGCCTCATGGTTCTCTTGGCAGAGGGAGAAGTCACCATGCCAGTGCGGTTCTGTGATAGTTTCGAGTCATTTCGGACTATTAGAAGCGGAAGTTTTGCGTCATTGCGGACGTGCGTGTCTTGATCTTTCGTTTTAGTCGAATTCTGTCAAGATCCGGGGTATGTCGTTTCGAGATGTTCTTTTGTTGAATTTCTCGGTCGTTCTAGAGGGTTCCATGGGCTTGCAGGAGTTTCCACGGAGTTCGTCTCGTGATAGTTTAGCGTCTTTCCAGACAGTGGCGAAGGTAAGGCATCCGGGGCTTTGCAGGAGTTTCTCGGTGTATTAGTCTCGTCTTCAAGGTGAAGGGGTCCGTATCTCCGGGTTCGTCCTTCTATTCTTAGTTTAGAGTCATGATGGACCTGGGATAGTTTAAGGTCTTTTCCGGACCAAGGATAGTTTCAAGTCATTTCGGACTTCTGCGCAGTTTATAGTCGTGCCGGACTCAGGTACAGTTTATAGTCATGCCGGACTCAGGTACAGTTTATAGTCATGCCGGACTCAGGCGATTGTCGATATTTATAGATAAGGGTGCGGCCGGGGTGAGGGGAATTAAGAGTGAAATGAGTTTTTAAATGAGAATTTCACCCCCCAAGTAAGCCGTTTGATCACCGATCAAATCTAGAAGTCTAAATCAAGGTTTCCGCAGTCAGGGTCAGACTGATCCGTGACTGGTGCGATCTCTCCCTGGAATAATCTAACATCCACAGGGTCGTCCTGGTTGGGGCAATGGTTTGCGATACGCTTTATCGTTCGCTGAAAGTAGTTCTGCTGTTTAATCCGATCTACTTCCATCGGAGTCGTCGCGGGTTCTTCTGCTATGGCAGGGGCCGCGGGGGCAGTATGAACGACTATCTCGTCGTTATGTTCATCGTCAGTTTCTTCCATCATTTCCTTATCGGCTAGTGTGGGCACGAGGAATGGGCGAGTGACTGGTGTGGTTTTCGATCGTTCTGGGAAAGAAACGATCGGCTCGGCCCGGTTGATCCATTGATCAGCGGCCGGTTCATCTTCTGCTAGTTTATACTCTTGGCGGAGTTTCTTTGGTGGCGGCGCTTCTGCCGTGACTACCGATCTACCTTTTCCAAGAACCGAAGCAGGTTCTGCTGAAAAGACGTACTTCTGAGTTTTCTCCGGTTCAGGGGCCGGTCTTGGGATCTTTGCACGAGGGGGTTCCTCGTCGAAAGTAGCTCTGCCTTTTCCTAAGATCTGGGCAGGTACTGCAGAAAATCTATATTTATCTGCGGGTGGTGAGGTGGTAACTAAGTCCGACTGTCTCGTGGACTTCTTCTCGACGTTCTGGGATGTCGAGGCGTGGGGTTCCAACGGCTTGGTAGCCGGTGCGTACTCGAGGATTTCGTGGAGTTCCTCGATCGGGGTTAATGTCGGATTGAATTTCCGTCTTCCCGAAGTTAGTTTCGACTCGTTTCGGAGATCTTCCATCGGCGAATCAGCCGGTTCTGGTAGTTTAGCCTCATTTCGGAGGTTCTTCGTGACAGGTGCTTCTGTCAGATCTAGTTTATACTCATCTCGGAGTTCTTCTTTCTTCTTCGTCAGGGTGCCTACCTCCCTTCTTTGGCGCGTGTTTCGTGTCTTCTTTTCTCTACGGAAGAGCGGCTTTAACCCGTTCCTCTTCCTACCTCTCTCAATCATTCTCTCAAGTCCTTTCGACTTGTCAGTGGCAGGGATAGTTACCGTGCCTTTCTTCCAATCTATGGAGGGTTTCACAGCGGCCAGCCATGTGAATCCGAGTAAGATGTCGTCTAAGCGCGGCATTACGAGGAATCGTCCGTGCATTACTCGGTCGTCGATCTTTATGATGAGTCGGCAAAATCTTTTGACGTCGCCTCCTCTCGTTCCGTCTCCGTTCATTACCCTTTTTGGTTTCTGAAGGAGGTGCGTTCTAATGCGATATTTCTTGCAGAGTTCTCTGCTTATAAATGAGTCGCATGCGCCCGAATCTATAACCATGGTGGTCGTAATGGGCGGCTTAGTGATGGACATTAGGGTGGCGGCAACCCGTAGTTCTTTCTTTTTTGATACGCTGTTCTTGTTAATTATTAGCAGCGGTCCAGTCTTCTCCTTACCAGCCGCTGTCTTGCGGACTGTTTCTTCTTCGATAATCTTTCTCCTCATCGGGCACTTGTGGTCGTTGGCTTTGTGTCCAACGTGATGGCAAGAAAAGCATCGTCGTTGCTTCAGGTGGTGTCTTGTATCCATTCCTGAAAGGTTGGCGGCGGCGTCGGTATTTCTTCTGATCATCATGATTTGTGTCGGTGCGTTCATGATAGAGGAAGTAGTGCGAAGGGACAGTGATGGGCTTTAAGGATTCAAAGCTTCGTACGTCTGTTTTGACAATTTGTGGATAGCTTTACGCCGGTCTCGGCGATTTGGTTACGAGAGTAGAGGTCTACGCTTGTCTCAGCGGTACGGTCGGTTCAGTTTCAACGGCGGTGCGTGATGAGCAGGGCCGGGAAAGTAAGACTTGATTCTTTTGTTACGGACTAGGATAGTTCGAGCTCTCCCTAGGCGGATTGCCTAATCTGATAGCGAGCTCGCTATTGGAGAGACGGGGATCTTCTCTCGAATGAGAGGTTCGGGGGTTCCACTTAAGGTAGCGTCGGCTTTCCTTAAGGTGCGGCTTTAGACTGAGTGATTTGGGATAATCACACAGAGGAAGTTCTGATGAAAACCTAGTAGAATCAAGTAGGGAATATACATGATTCTAGTCTGCTCTATATACTGTTGTCCATGTGCACAGACCAATACTACGTTTGGTAGGTAGATGTAAGTGTGTCTATATAAGGGCATCTTATCTGATGCCATGCGGTCGCTTATCTATACATGAGGCTTATCATGCCTCTCTTATCTGTCCTCAAGGCGTAGCATGCCTTGGAGTCTAACTGCGCATGCTGCGGCATGCGGCTTCTCTTCTGACCATGAGGCAGAGCTTCCATCCGGATCGAGGACCTTCTAGGTCCATCCAGATGTAGCCTAGGCTGGTCTAACTGCGCATGCTGCGGCATGCGGCTTCTCTTCTGACCATGAGGCAGAGCTTCCTCATGATCCGGATCGAGGACCTTCTAGGTCCATCCAGATGTAGCCTAGGCTGGTCTAGGTCATCTAACGGCATCCAGGCCGTTCTAGGCGTCTCTACGAGTCTTCGTTGAGTCGGTAAGTCTTCCAAGACGGTGCATATGGTGGGATAGGGGCTAAGGTCATGATGACCTCCGTAGGAGGGGTTCTCGGTTAAATGTTATTGTAACAAAGATGATGATGTTCTATTGCTTCCGAGCTTGCAGGACCTCCCTCAAAATGCTGGCTTAGTAGGACCTGCTGGTTATCAGTATATGGGAGGCATGGTGAACCCGCCAACACAAGCACTTCACGGTGTTCAGGACTGGGGATCACAAGGGGAGGATCAGGATGATGAAGATCAACCAGAGTTCGCAGAGTTCACAGATTCTGAGTCTGAGTCTGACAGTGGAAGAGACCGTAGCAGAAATGCCTAGATATACTTTTGGTAATACATTAAGGTTGTTGGCATCTCTCCACTGTAGTGCTGCTGCTGTCGAGGTGAGTCCAACTCAAGCTCCCACGGAAGCTTTAAACTCTGCTGGGAGTGGTGTCCTAGACTGGCGAAAAGACTTAGTACCATCTATGTACATGTATGAATGTATGACTTGTTCAGCTCCGAACTGGAGGCGATACATACAGTGCGGCTTGGAAGCTAGCACGGACACCAATGGTTCGGGAGTAGCAAGTTGTACTAGTACTGTGAGACGTACAAGTTCTCCAACTTGCCCCCCAAAAATTCGCTTTGCCTCACACTCTCCTGGAGTCCTGCGAGCCGTTCGCAATAACACCCTCTCAGGCAGATGTCCATGTTTACAACTTGCTCCTGCTCTGTACACTTGCCTTGTTCTTGCCCCCTTGCAGGTGCAAACTCCCAACCCTAACCCAAAGCTTAATGGCCCGGTTGAATCATTGGTAAGTCCATCACGCTCTTGTTCCTTCGTTCACTCCTTTTTGTTATTTATTCATCACACTAACAGACACTTGACCCCAGCCGAAGCTCTCCAGCCTCCTCGTTCAACTCCGACATTAAGAAGAAAGCCGATAGACTACTCAAGAACATCACTGACCGCAAGGAACAAATCGACACTCCCTTACCTGCTGCTCTGTCCCAGCCCTGTGCGCGCATCGAAGATAAACCTTGAAGATGTGCTTGCTGAGCTGCGCACACCCGGAGTATGGTTTGATGGCGTTGATTGGGCGGCTGGCGGCTTGGACATCGGTGGTAAGCGTGAGGACGATTCCTTGAGTAGCACCAGTGCATCGACGAGAAGCGATGGATCACACACAACGAGCCCTGTTCTTTCTATGACAATGCTACATACCACGCCATCGCCTCCACCATCACATCCTGAGGAGAAGGAGCATGAGCCTACAACGACAACGGCAACAGCGCAGCCGAAACCGCCACAAGTTATCATCCCCATTCCTGTGTCACCGGTGTTAGACTCACCCAAGCTTTTACATCCTATCCCTTATGTACCGGTTACGCTGGCCCATATGGCACAGTATAGTCTCGAAGCATTCAAACAGGTGAGTTGTATTCTGTAACACGATGCTACCTCATCCGAACCAACTACATTAGGTATGGCGCAAAGCATGTGCACCACTGTATCACTGCCTCACACTCTCCTTTCTCCCTCGTACCTCGATGCCGCCGAAGCATCCTCGTAGAGACTCAGATCGTCCTGTTGACGACCAAGCGCGACATGGAGAGTCTGTGGCACCAATCCCTACACCTCGCCAACGAAAGCGCTCCTCAGAAGAGCTGGATGTTGGCAATGACTCTCTGTCCCGGGGTGATTCCCTACAAAAGCGACTGCACATTGAAGAGTCCTCGCTGGGTGGAATGGGGGATGAGCTGCCGGATATGGGGGAAGAAGGCATGGTTGACGAGGTTATAGATGAGCTACTCAAAGGGAAGTCACGGGGAGCAGCCGGGGCTGCTATCGAGTATGTTTTGTTCATCCAATCTCCCGATTTGACGTCTAATTTTATATCGCTCTCAGAACAAAACCCAGGCATCACGCTGGCATTCTGCCCTTGCCTTATGCGCCAAGTTCATCGGGCGAGTTCACACGCATCATCACGCAGGCAAACGATGTCGGTGCCCGATATGTCGGATGCTGTTCCAGTTTAGATTAAACTATATAGTGCATAGTGTGCCGATTGTGTGTCTATGACAGGAATGCCAAAGTAACTAGTCTTTTGAAATATCATTGCGAGTTCCCAGAACCATGCTCTTTTCACCAAAGTCATCACTTTCGTCATCAGACTCTGAGTCTCTCTCGCTGTCAGCAACTTCTTCTGGTGATCGCCTCTTAGTCCCACACTAAGTGGCACCCCGGATCAGGACCCCAGACACCGCACCAGAACATCGTGCCCAACGGCGCCAACGTCGCCCAGTGGTGTCTTATCTCGACCCAACAATACCCAGAAAAGCATTAAAAACTACAAAAAACAATCTCTAGATACTAACATTATAGAATATGGCGCCGGGAAAAGCGCCTGAGAAGAAGAACCCAACAAACGGTTCAACTCACCCAACTACCCGTCAAACCAACGCAACAAGGAATCAAATGCTCCAGAACGACATTGAGGCGCTCCCGGGAGCAGTAACAAACTTAGAATCTGCAGAGAAGTATCTTGAAAGTGTCCTCCTACGACAAGCCGACGAACCCCTCACCACGCTACATCTGGTGGGAATACTATTTCAAATTACCCAAATGGTCAAGCCAATCCCGATCTCCATCACCAATGCCATCAGAGCAGTGGCCTTCATCCTCAAATGACAGGCTGCCTCGGAAATTGCAGAGGTCGTTGTGGAGGCCGCAGCCAAACAACTGTCAGAATCCCTCTCAAGCAACATCGTGAACAACGTAATTGCAGCCATCGCACCGCAAGTAGCTGCTATCCACAACACAGCTGAAACCATGAAAGATGCATTGGCACAATCTTCACAGCTTCACAGCTCACTCGCGCGGGAAAAAGAGGAAGAAGGAAATGACCTTAAGATTGCAGCAGGACGAATTGAGGAGGCGGTGGACATGCTTTACGAATCGATAGAGGACTGCAACAACTCCTACAAGCTACTCACCCCATCGCTGGAATCCACGCAGGACCGCCTCAACAATCTCTCAACTCAGCTCCTTCAGTCCCCCACGGGCCACACGCAACCAACCAATGCCTCTCCATCCCATCCCACGTACAGCTCTGTCGCAGTGGCTCACCTCCCATCCTCCACTGACCAAGCGGTGGCTAGAGCCACAATCCACGCAAAACAGATAATGCTCGACCCGACGCCAGGCCATTCACTATTCCCCACAGAGACCACTAACACCACGATAGCCAAACATATCTCAGACATTCTCCTCGAAATCTGTACCCAAGATACCCCCAATGGAGCAGTTCGCACAGTCCAACGTCTTCGAAATGGAGGATTGATAATAGAAGTAGACAATGAGCAATTGGCGGGATGGCTTAAAGGCCCCACAGGCAGGGTGCTACTGGAATCCCACCTGGACTCAACAGCGAGCATCCGTGACAGGACCTACCCCATCGTAGTTCAATTCCTGCCCATCTCCTACGAGATAGAGTGTGACAACTTCCCACGTCACATTGAGGCCGAAAACCATCTCCCCCCCAATTCCATCGCCTCCATCCATTGGATCAAACCTCCTCAACGTCGTACCAGGGAACAATGTACGGCATTCGCCCTAATTCAAGTCAAAGATGTCGAAACTGCCAACGGCATCCTCAAAGAGGGACTTTGCATCGACGCCCGCAGATACGCTGTCAGTAAGGATCGAAAGGAACCCCTTCGCTGCGCTAAATGTCAAAAGTTCGGACACATGGCACGCAATTGCTCCTCTCCTCATGACACCTGTGGCACTTGCAGCGGACGCCACCGGACCACTCTATGTAACTCATTCCGCACTGAATGTTGCGTGAACTGCAAGAGTCAATCCCACACCAGCTGGAGTCGCAAATGTCCGGAATTCCTTCGCCGGTGCAAAGCCTTGGATGAGATGTACCCTGAGAACAAGTTACCCTTCTTCCCCACGAGCTCCTCCTTGACCCGAACACCCAACTCACCTCGCCCACCAGCTCCTGCCCCTGCACCAACAAAACCCACTTCCACTTCCACTCCCACTCCCACTCCCACCCCCGCCCGCTCTGAAGTGCCAAGCACACCCACTTCCAACTCTGCCCATCATCAGCTGTCGTTGCCACCGCCGCCGCCGCCGCCTCCCCCTCCCCCACCCCACCATAAACAATCGACCCTTAGCTTCCAGCCCGTACCCATTCCCAGATTGCAATTACCGGTACCTGAACTTGAATCCAATGCTACCAAACCTCCCTCAACTCCCACGACTCCTGCAACTCCCTCAACTCCTTCCCTTTCCTCCTTTATCTCACCCCCCGTCTCCCCCCTCCCCTCTCCTTCTACTTACTCTACCCCCAGCGCAGGCCACCAATCCCCCATCTCCAATGTCTGAACAACCCATACCGAACCCAGTCAGCCTTAAAATTTGGCAGCAGAATCTTAATGCTTCACTAGCAGCGCAGGAATCGCTGATGAATAGCCCAGACATTACTAACCAAGATCTCTTAATTATTCAGGAACCGTATATTAATTTCCTTCGCAATACCCGTGCCAGCCACCGCTGGCATGTACTATATCCAACTAACCATTTCACATGCCCACAGGAACGATCTCGCGCCATAACCTTCATCAACTCCTCACTCGACACGAACACATGGAAACAAATCTTTTTCCCCTCATCTGACATCGTCATAGTCCAAATATCCGGCGAGTTCGGCAACTGCACGATTCTCAATATATACAACGACTGTACCCACCAGAACACCTTGATCGCATTGGAGGAGTACCTCGCTCAGAACATTGCCCTGCTCCGACCAACGGCTGACAACCAAATGCTATGGCTTGGGGACTTCAACCGCCACCACCCCATGTGGGAAGACCTTCGTAACCGGCATCTCTTTAATTATTCATTCTCTCAACCGCTCATTGATCTGATCACTGACTATGGCATGGTACAGATACTCCCTAGTGGCATCCCCACCCTCCAGTCCATGAGCACCGGGAATTGGACTCGACCGGACAACATATTTGGAATGGAAGGCACCCTCGAGACCGTGGTCTCATGCACCACCGAACCAGCCAAGCGCGGCCCTAAAACAGACCATCTGCCCATACTTCTGACCCTGGAACTGGAAATCCCTCGCACGGACAACACTCCACGTCCCAATTGGCGTGACGTGGACTGGAACTCTTTTAAGGAAACCTTAGGAAAGACACTCGAACCTACTCCGCCACTCCCCCTCGCCTCAGCAGAAGAGTTCCAACAATTAGCCAAGACCATCACGCAGGCCATCAAAACCACCATGGACGCATGTGTTCCCCAATCCAAACCATGCCCTCACTCCAAACGGTGGTGGACTCGCACTCTTACTGACCTCCGCAAGCAAGTAGCGAAACTAAGCCACAAATCCTACCAAATGCGTGGACTCGTCGACCATCCCTGTCATGCGGAATATAAGGCCCTCAAGAACCGATATGCGGAGAAAATCACAAGCACCAAGAAGCAACACTGGCTAGACTGGCTGGAAGATATCGAGGGCAACGACTTATGGACCGCCAATCGGTATATCTCATCAGACCCTACTGATGGGGGGAAAGCACGCATCCCCACCCTTATTGCTAAACGACCTGACGGAACTGAGATAGAGGCAGCTACTAATGCCGAGAAAAGCATTATCATAGCGGAGGCGTTCTTCCCTCCCCCTCCTACCACTAACTCCATACCCGCTGACTTCATTTATCCAGATCCTGTGGCTCCTCACACCCCCATCACCTCAGTTCAGATCACCCGTGCCATATCGAAACTCAGTGGTTACAAGGCCCCAGGACCCGACGGCATTCGAAATATTGTTTTCAAAGAATGCTCTGCTTTACTGACCCCTTATTTAGTCCACCTCTTCAACGGAGTCTTCACCTATTGTACGTATTACGCCCCATGGAAGAACTTCACGACTGTCGTCCTTCGAAAGCCCGGCAAACCGAACTACACTATCCCTAAGGCCTACTGCCCCATTGCCTTGATCAACACCACATGCAAACTCCTCACCGCTGTCATTGCTGACCAACTAACCTATTTATTAGAACATCATCACCTCCTGCCAAACACCCACTTTGGTGGTCGCCCTGGACGCTCTACTACTGACTCCCTCCATCTTCTAGAAGACACCGTCAAGAACGCTTGGCGATCGGGTAAAGTTGCCTCTGTCCTGTTCCTGGACATCGAGGGTGCCTTCCCGAACGCGGTAACCAAGTGTCTGCTACACAACATGCGAACACGTCGTCTCCCGCTCGAACTAATCAACTTTACAGAACAAGTCCTCACCGGTCGCAAGACCCAACTGCACTTTGACGGCTACACCTCGGATTGGATTGACATCAACAATGGTATAGGACAGGGCAACCCACTCTCAATGATTCTTTATATAATTTATAGTGCTGACCTTGTAGATATCGCCAAGCCTCGCCATGGACGCGCCTCCCTCTCAGAGCTCACTCTCACCTTCGTTGACGACACAGCCCTGGTGGCCATAGGTAAAGACTTCGTAGACACTCATCGCACCCTCAACGACATGCTGGAACGTCCAGGAGGAGGATTTGATTGGTCGCGGGACCATAACTCACGCTTCAAGACTAACAAATTTGCCCTTATAGATTTTTCCATGAATAGAATGCATTGTAGAGACTCATGCCTCTCATGGTGTGATATGGCAGTATTCACTAGGGAGTACACAGCACAAACTTGCAGCATCACTCTGTGTGCTATCTGCAGCTATCCCTATATGAGGCGCAGCTTTCCCGTGCAACGCGCGCCATGCGCGCACCTTTCCCGCGCTTTACGATGTATACGCGCGCGCGCTTTCCCGCGCTTGATCGCCCTATAGCGCCAGCCTTCCGGAAGCATCCATCCACTGTCCACCAAGCTCTCTAGTGCGTGTATTTCCATTTCCCTTATTTACATATCATCCCACCTTTATTTATATCATGGACCCTTACTTACATATAGCTTTACATACCTTACTCGGTAGCGCTTCGGCTCCGCGTGACAGCGCTTAGGCGCCGTATATAAGCGCCAGCATTACATACTATTAAGAACTTTCGAACTTTGGACTTTACCTCCCACTTACCACCCACATACTACCTAGGAGAACATAGTAGAAATCTATTCTTTGACACCTCGCGCTCGTATCTCTTGTCTAGTATCTAATCACCACTTAAGCAAACTCACTCTTACTCTCACTCATTACCGCTCACACGCGCGCGCGCTTCCCGCACCTCGCGCGCACCTTCGCTTTCCCGCGCCTCGCGTGCACCTGCGCGCTTTCTCGCGCTTCGCATCAGCCGACCAGTAGCGCCTTCGGCGCGCACTACTAGATCCTTGCTGCACTCGCTTCCCCTTTAGGGTCGAACGCACTTGTCATCTCAAGTATAGCAGACTAGGCAATGCACGACCTTACAACATTTACAGATACAGTCTGGAGCATCATTTGTTCCTCTCAGTATTGTTGTTTCTACAACTGGAGCCCACCGCGAGGGGAACAGTCTGGAGCATCATTTGTTCCTCACAGTATTGTTGTTTCTACAGCGTGATCGCCCACCCCTGCATCTCCGTGGAGTCGTCATACGCCCCACTCCCACTCATCGATTCCTGGGCGTCATCCTCGACCAGGAATTACGATGGAAAGCCCAAGTGGACAATGCATTGGCCAAAGGGTTGGCATACGTTCTGCAACTATGGCGCCTGTCAACTATGTCCAAAGGTATCCCACTCCGCCTCATGCAACAGCTCTACCTAGCCACGGCAGTCCCCAAAATGCTATACACGGCGGATCTTTGGTTTACGCCGGCTTATCGGGAGGGAACCGACACGCTACAGAGAGGTTCCCTGGGTGTTGCCAGGAAGCTCACCTCCATCCAACGAATTGCAGCCATAGCTATGACTGGTGCCATGAGAAGCACCGCCACCGATATCCTTGAAGTGCACGCTAATCTTCTTCCCATGACCCTGCTACTTCAGAACACATGCCATCGTGCCGCAATCAGACTAACCGCTCACCCAGACACCCATCCTCTCTATGTAGCCATCCGCAGGGCAGCCAAGCGCTACGTCTCCTCTCATCGTTCATCTCTTCATTGCCTTACCCATTTTTTCCAACTAATCCCTGATGAAATTGAAGCTCTTATCCCAGCCAGATGTGCGCCCACCGCCTCATGTCCATATGCCACCCACATCGCCACCTCCCGCGAAGACGCCATATCAGAACACCACGAATTACAGGACAGCATTCAGATATTCAGCGACGGTTCAGGACATGATGGCCGCATTGGCGTGGCAGCAATACTATTTCGAGCAGGAAAGCGTCCTCGCACGTTGCGATACTATCTGGGCATGGATGAGGAACACATGGTGTTCGAAGCGGAGATGGTTGGACTCACCCTAGCAGCCAGACTCTTGGCCACAGAACAAGACCTTACGTTCCCACTATCTGTTTCCGTCGACAATCAAGCAGCTATATTATCGGGTGAGAGCTTCTACTCCAATCCAGGTTCATACCTAGCGACCAAATTTCAGAAGATGATGCGGAAAATCAAGCATGTTAACCCGGAATTCAACGTCACACTCCGCTGGGTCCCGGGTCACGAGGGAGTTCACGGGAACGAGGAAGCAGACAAAGCAGTGAAAGTAGCAGCAGAAGGGCAGCACCATAACAGCCCCCGTGCGCACCTCCCCCAATATCTACGTGACAGATCACTACCGCTTAGTATTTCAGCGATCAAGCAAGCTCACAGGGAGCGCACCCATTCCAAATGGGTCATTCAATGGTCCACCTCCCCCCGCTATCACCGTCTCTGTTAAGAACGTGCTCAAGGGTCGGATCCGAAGGGCTTGGCTTCAGCTCGTGCGCTGCGCCCCTTACCCGAGTACGTGCCCCTAACTTCCGAGGGTTGTTGAACGATGTCCGAAGGTTACCGGACGATGTCCGGAGGGCGTCGGGCGATGTCCGGAGTCCGATGTCCGATGCGCGGGAATTCCGGCGGACGTTCGGAAACAAGAGATAAGACTAATCCGGACGAAGTCCGAACTAGAAAGGAAACAGCGGAGGACTACCAGAGGTAGAGGCGGAGGTGTCAAGTCTATAGGAGTCAATCCTAAGACGAGCGGAGGTCGACGAGAGAGAAACTCAAGTCGGACGGAGGAGAGAATGAGCAGAGTCTAATATGATATTCGAACTGAGGAAACTACAGAGATTGTACAGGGGTTTATATACTACTGAGGACATAACGGAGAATAGTAAGTGCAGTGCGAAGCTATGTAAAGCTATGAAGAAAACATATGGTACGACTATCACTAGTCTATCGGAACTTAGTAAAATGAAGACGGAGATGAATGAGGAACGGAAAATAAAGCGTACTAACTGATAAGGGAAATACCAAAGGGATAAGGCGCGGAAGTTAGACGCGGGTCGGATCCGGACGATACATAGAAGTCGGCCGGATCCGGAAATCCGGAAATGATGAGTGTGATAGGTCCGGGTCTGGAACGCGGGATATGACAGTCTCCAGCACATAGACCCTCTCGTTCTCAATCGCTCGTTCATCAAACTCACATCAACATTCTCAAAATGACTCACAGGCCTTATCCTTGGACTACGAACCCACCACCTCCCTCTGAACCAACACCTCTTCCATCTCACCAAAGCCACCACTCCTAACTGCCCTCACTGCCCGCGAGATGAGGAGAACGTCCACCATTATCTATTCGTTTGCCCGCAATATCAGCCAGAGCACCTCGTGCTAGCCCAGGCACTGGGTCGAAAGTCCACCTCCCTATCGTATCTATTGACCGACCCCACCGCCATCCCTCACCTAATCTGATATGTTAATCTGACCCATCGCTTGAAGCCCACGCTAGGTGAAATCCTGATGCCTCCCACACGAGCAGCTTAACATTCCCTGACCAGATTCCTCTCAACGCAAGCAAGACTCACACCAGAAGAACCCGTGCACGTGTTATGATAACATTCGCTCCTACCATTTCTTTCTTCATTACATACTAAACGGGCTGTCCGTACCTTTCTCTTATCCAAGCGGTCCGTCCGCCCTATCTCTTATCTCCTTCCCAAGTGGGCCGTCTGCCCTATCTCTCTTATCTTGATAACACATTTACAAGCTCCGCTTGAACATTCCTATATAGACCGTACTATGCACGATTGTATTCTTTACTTTAATCTACTGGGTTTTACCTGGAACATTCCTTCAACAAGGTCTCCAACCTTGTTGTCTAAGAACTACGATTCTAAGAGAGTCAGCGCCACTCGTCTTAGCCTAGATCCTTGATCCTCTCATTCGAGAGAAGACCATTGTCTATCAGGCTCATCGCCGATTGTCCATTCAGACTTTGATAGAACGACCAATCCCAGTCGTAACAGCATGCACCCAAGACTCCACACCCCATTACTCTATCCGGATCATCCTATTATTGCCCTCCACTCGCTACCATACCTTCACTTAATAACAACAACACCGCTCGTCAACACGAGATCTCTGGCTCGACCCTGGGGACCAAATTAGTAGCAAGTAGAAACATTCCAATGGTGACACACTGGGCCTCCGTCAACTCAACCACCCAGCCCCGAAGCACGCTCCCGCTTCCACATCCCATGGACCTTATCCACTTAATACCTACTACACACCTCATATGATCTCTGTTTGGTCCGCGCAAGCGGCCGAGCATGCGTTATAATTTTCACGTTAGACTTCTCATCGCACAAACTTACTTATAGTCGCCTCTTAGTTATACACATTGCCCATCTAAAACGGCCGGCAGGAATGGCGGACTGGTGGGGTACGCCTTACATCAGTGCATTTGGGGATGTAACGAAGGGGCGGAGCACAGGGCTCCATGGCTAGCTAGTAGTGTCCTACATAGAGTTTCACTCTCAATGGACAAAAAACTGGATTCAAAAAAAAAAAAAAAAAACTTCTTCTGGTGTCTTATGGAACAATGGGGGTATTGGACGAGACCAGTCACATGGCAATTTGAAAAATTCGCAAAACATGTTGCACTGATGTTTCTCCGCAAAAGATGAAAATGCAGATGCCAAGTTGCCATCTGCGAACAGGTGTCCAGAAAGATCACTGATAATTGCTGTCAGCCACTCATTGATAAGGATAGTAGTAGGGATGTAGATTTACGGAGAAGTCATAATTTGAGGATCAGTTAAAAGATTCCTTCCGTCTGCCAAGAATGAATAAGCTATGTGTAGATATCCAAAATAAAGACGAGCCTTGAAAATCTGCAACGTAAGCAAGTTTCTTGGTCTTGATGTATTGGACGTGTTGTGCAAATGACAGGTACTGGGCAATTTCACTTGATTTGGCATCAAGGTGTGGCAGTGGGGAAGGTGAGTCGTTGGATATATACTTGGTGAATTTCCCTTGCATGGACTCGTCAATGAACTCTTCAATTAGATATGTTTTGGTAACACCAGCGTCCTCGATAGTGGCAAGAGCAATATGCACAAAGCGGATATTTGGAATCTTGAAGGGAGGTGTGCTGCGAGTCACTAGTTCTGTGGCAATATATTGCTGAACCCGGTCCATGAGTGCTCCTGCCCATATGCTGCATCTAATCTCTGGCTGCAGCAGCTGTAGTTGCCGAGAATCGGGATAAGGAAACCGCTTGGATTTGTCGGTCTGGTAGTAGCACTGCTTTAAGCAGATGCGAGTTGAATCAGATCCAGACGGTCCAAGGATAGCTTTGTCTAGAAAGCCGAATTGTGCTGCTTTGAATGCTCCATACTTCGGTTTGCTTCGTGGATCGAAAAAAAGAGTAGCCTGCATCGGGGGGGGGCAGTAGTATTTGGTACGTCAGAAGTGGTTGGATCAGTAATCAGAGCAGATAGGGATCTGCACGGGTATGGGTAACCTGCGCGGGTCACGGGTACGGGTACTACTGGGGTACAGGTACGGGTCGGGATTCTAAGACCCGCGCTCTTACCCGTACCCCAGCTATACCCGTGCCTTCCATAAATGGTAGCACCTCCTGCATCAGTAATAGCGGACGCCATACTTCCCGCGTGCACGCTACAACCGGCACCACCACCAACACCGGCACCTAACGCACCTTCCCAAGTCCACCAACTCCACGTTCACAGCGCGCGCGCCCGAAACGCGTCAACAAGTGTTGACGCGATGCAAACACACGCGGACGACACGCGAAGACGAAAGGACAAGAGAATCGAGGAAGGGAGAAGGGATGGTATAGAGATGAAGGAGGAAAGAGGAACTCGAGGAGACGAGACTTTGGGCACGCTGAAAGTGAGTACTCACATTGAAGACTCTACCCCCAGCAACAACAACAACGTCATACGCGTCACGTCGCCAGCGCCTATCTTTGTGCGCCCAGCACTCGCACCACCACCAGCTTTCACGCCAACGCCACCATCCACGACGCCAACACCACCATCCACGACGCCAACACCACCATCCTCGACGCCAATGCCACCATCCATGACACCAACGCCACCATCCACGACACCAACACCACCATCCCATCTACGACGCCAACACCTACGCGACACACTGACTCGCCAGCATCAAGCGTACACGCTCAGACCACGCCAGCGAATGCTGGCGTGGCTCGAATGCACACGGAAGACACCAGGACGAAGAGAGAAGGAAAAGAGGAGGAACGAGAGGAGGAAGGAATGATCTTGTCAGTAAGTCGCCGTCCTGACTCTGCCCCCATTTTCTGCAATGAGGACGCGACGCCTGACACATCACACTCTCGCGCCACCACACCACCATCTCCCATTTCGACACGCTCACCTTCGACTTTGATCGTATGCGACACACCACCTGCCACGACATCAGCATCTATTTCGACGCGTCCGTCATTTGCGCTGTGCCTCCACTCCTCCTTCTTGTGCCATCCACATATGTTCGAGTCACGTCAGCATTTGCTGACGTGTGCTGGACATATGTGCTAAGCACTGGTGGTGATACCTATGGTACCCGCGGGTAAACCCTGCACGGGTGCGGGTACGGGTCTGAGCTTGTTGTACCCGCTGAAAACCCGTACCCGTCAGAGCGGGTACGGGTTTTTGCCGGGTGCGGGTGCGGGTCAGGTCCCTGACACCCCAGGGTATACCCGTGCGGATCCCTAAGAGCAGATAGTGATATGGGGGGGATTATCTGCAGTAGTGCCTTGAACGTGCGAAGAGTGAGAAAGGGTAAGTTTGGTTGGGATATGGGAATAGCTTGTGCTTGAAGTGCACGGCGAAGTGCACTAACATCCAGAGATACTGCAGCATCCAATATCCGAGGCTTCCGAGGGGGTGTGGATGGGACAGGAGGCTGTGTGCAATGCTAATGAGCATAAGGCTGGTACTAGAGTTCGAAAGAATGACTGACCGATGATAATTTGCGCTTGACAGGGTGAGGCGAACATTGGGCGCCATTTTGCAAATTTTTTGATGGGGACACCGCAGATAGTACAAATGCAGGACTTGAAAGATGTTGGATGTCAGATGAACTTGCCACTGTTGCGTGAGGTGTAGGAATAATGAGGTGAAGTTTGATCCCCTTTCCAGCGTTGAACTGCTGCTTCGTGTTCCTGGTCTTGAGGAAGTGGGATGCTATGGCATTGATGTCTTCTCCAGATGGACGGGGAAGAATCTCCTCGAAACTACTAACAAGACGCAAATGTGCCTCTTCAAACGTAAAAGTAAGACCCATGGACCACTTGATGAACATGGGAAGTAGGGTGAGGTACACCGAAGTTTTAAGGTCATTGGCACCAATGCGGTAAGGGATGTTGCTGATCGACTCAACTATATCCTATAGAAGATTCAGCGAAGTCAGTGAAGTTGAATTCAGAATTGTAGAAAGCAACACTTACAAATATTAGAGTTGGTTTTTTAGCCTGTGGAATCATCACTGCAAGGTATGCCTTGACGCATACCACTTCAGGAACACTCAAAGCATAGGCCTGTCGAGCAAGCCGGTCTCGCATCTCTTCATAAATTTTATGCACATCTTGATAACCAGGCTTGAGTGGCAGAGCTCGAAGAAGGTCTGAGTACACAATAAACTGAGCGTCCCGGCCATAAATAGATATGTTGGGCCCTAATGGATTTGCACGGTGGATGTCTGAGGGGCCAGGAGCTGCAGGCCAGTTGGGTAAAGGAACAAATTGATGATTTGCTGAGGCACGCCTCGGGCGAATGGGACCTGGGATGAATGCAGGTGGAGGCATCCCACATGATACACTAAGCCCCACTGCACGAACAGGAAGTTGGGATTCTACAAAAATAAATGAAGGTTTGTATTCAATATAAAATGCAACTGTACTGGGCGACTCACTTCCACACTGCACCTCTGCAGTCTGCTTGTGAACTGCAGCACCATCATATTCGGACTGGCCGAAACCATGCTTCAAGGTACTTGGAATTACTAGAGAAAATTATCGTCAGACTGTAATGTGACAAAGTCTGCACACCGAGCAATTATTTTACCTGCATCACTTATTTTCTTGGTAGTGAACTTGGAGCGCTGGTATCGGCTGCATTTTTCACAAAGCCATTTACCGGGCTTGCTTGGATCTTTGTGCTCAATATAGGTGATAGCAGGTACAGTGCCAGGATGACCACTAAAACAGTTGGCATACTCGCAATAGTGCTGGTCAGCATTTGTGGTGAACTCTGCAGCATACATGATGATGGTGGATTTTTTGGGGGGTTTGGATTTAAATTTCTGAACCGTCAGATTCAAATATTAGTGCTACTAGAGGCTCGTCGAAGCAAGCAAGGGCCTTTGATATCACCATTTGATGCAAGTCTATGTGCGAGTGATGATTTCTCATGTCAAATTTGCAAGGCAAGAGATCTTAGGCACCACATCAATACAATGTCTTAACCTCATTCTGTACGCACAGCCACATTTATGAGTGTAGTCGGTAAATCCTTCATCGCGTTCAGTGGGTGATTGGGGGTCTGGCAGGAGAAGAGCCAAACAAATGCCTTTTTAGTCCAGCTGATCACTCTCGCCGAAGCTGATCACTCCCGCTTTCCATATACCACCACAAACAAACAATGCGCTTCTTTTTCCTCACCTTTATTGTTGGGTTGACAGCGTCTATATTGTCTGTCACAGCAAAGCGACCAAACTGTAGCCCACCTGGAGGTATTTGCGTAACGGATAGTAACTGTTGTGAGAGCAATGATACCTGCAATGGTGGCGTGTGCGAGCTTGCGGCGAGCCTCCCCACCCGCCGTAGCGACACACTACTAGTGAGTTTTCCCGCATTCATATTGGCACCGTTGTTGATCGAGCAATATGTAGAACGCTGCTGATTGAGAAATGAATAGAGGTGATACTTATATGGGGTATCTGCGCACTGTTTGGTCTTGGCGTAAATATAACATCACTGATTCACAGGTCAGACTGGCCAGCGACAAATCAAATGCGTGTCAGCTAAAAGACGCGCAGTTTGATTGAGTCAAAAGTTCATTTTTTCACCGCTTTTATTCATCCACTCGACAAGATTGAAGACATGCAGTTGCTCATACTTTTTGCTGTGAGTATCATTCAACCGTGTAGTTGAAACTCACAAGACAGTCAAGACCTGTGATATAAAATCTGGCTTCGAGTCGATATAGCCCAACCTTCAAATATAAAATTATATCAGCACAAACCATCAACGTCCGGTATTGCAACAGATAAATCATCGATTGATCTAGCTCGACGTGGCATTTGCCTCGTCACAGCCGCATCACGAGTGCATCACAACCATTTCGCTAAACGTTTTCGTGATAATATAAAATTCCTACCATCATCAGCGTCCATCCACCCCAAAGACATTCAATTCGAGCCCTCAGCAGATCATATCCCCTCAAACGAACAATGCGTTTCTTCTTCCTCACATTTATCGTTGCATTGACGTCATCTACAATGTGTGTCGCAGTCAGGGGACCAATCTGTAGCGACCGTGACCAGCCTTGCGAAGCCGTTAGTGACTGCTGCGATAAATTCGCTCTTTGTGCTGGGGGTATATGCATCACCTAGGATATCCAACCCTTGCAAGCCGATTTGCACGTAGCGACACACTAGTGAGTGTTTCCACTTGGCCATTGGTGCTGATTGAACAATTTGTATATTGTAGGATGTACACTGCTGATCGAGAAACAAGTAGAGGCGATGTTGAGTGGAAGGAGGACATGATATGAGTGTACGAGGTATCTGTGGTGGAGTAAACAGAGCACCATGGGTCAGACCTGCCAGCGATAGATCAAGGGCGTGTTAGCTACAAGACGAGCAGTTTGATCAGATCAAAAGTCCACTTTTTTTGTTCACTCAACGTCCAGAAAGAGTCGGGGTCGATGAAGTGACAGTCCTCGTGCTGGCAAATTCAATATCAAAGAGGTGCTGACCTGGCCATACGCGCTAACATTGAACAGCTCACAGCTAAGATGAGCATCTGAGGTCAAATTTGAACATTATGATACTATAGAAAATGTACTGTTCGAACTGCAGGCGCTGCAGACTCACTGATGATCATGATGAGATTATGGGTTACAAGCATGAGCGACTCAATTCCTTCAATGGTTGGTGATGTGTCTCACTTTTCTCGTCTTTCCTTCAACTACACGACATCTACTCCTTTGCGTTTTGAGCCTGGGAGGTGGTTGCGCAATGATGCGAAAGAAATCGTTGATGGGGTAGGTGACGAGCAGTGGGACGGAAATGGTCGACGGTCACTGGTCCACTTAGAATAGTTGTTCTTTACTATATAGCAGCACGCAAATAGCATAAGGGGAGAAATTTGAAAATTACAAAGACTGGGGCATTGCAAAGAGACGGAATCAGAGACGGTTGAACGTTGAAGTCAATAATTCCCAAAGTGTCTTTGTTTCGCGGGAGAAATCGAAAGGGGAAATATATCCCAGGCTTTAGAACTTAAAACTTAGCGCTTATATGAACTGTGATTCTAGTAACGGTAGGTTGTGTATGTGAGCAATCAATTCAACACGCCCCTGCATGTTCTACCGTATCTGTTAGCAATTTCAAATTCTGCTAAATCGTGCCCAGGGCCATAAGTATACCGGATATAAAAGCCAGCTGTCATCCTACCCTATCCTCCGAGATACCATTCGAGATCCCCCCTCAGAAAATTCCAAATCACCTCGCACACAAAATGCGTTTCTCTTTCCTGGCCGTTGTTGTTGCTTTGACAGCATCTATGTCTGTCAGTGCATGTAGCATGTTGCTTTGCAACACAACTGAAGATTGCTGCCCAACCTGGACTTGTGTAGGAGATGAGGTGAGTCTGAGCAGGTCGCCGTGTAACCAGGATTCAACCACATGACTCACCTGCGGACCTTAGATTGATGGTATGTACTGCGCATAGGTTGAAAATTGAGCTGGCAGCCAGAGCAGCACGTCGCAACAGTGCAGTGAGCCGTGTTTCTGCTTTCGTTTTGGCAGCGTCATGATTGATGGTGTAACACCTAGTTCAGATTCAATCAGTACAGTCGTTTTGGACAAATTTTCACACTACTCGAGCAATGCGGATGTTTGAACTTATCTGACAATGACCGGCCGTCCCCAGTCTTGCTCGCGGTCCACTAAGCTTGAGTTCGAGAGGCTGTCGAAACGAGCGATTATTGCTGTTGATGATTACACTGCGCAGACGATCTCGAAGCTGTTTGTCTAACGTTGGTATCAAAGGCTAGCTCGTGAATCTTTCTCTCTCTCTGGTGTGATGGAGACAACGAGACGCCAATTTGTTGCCAATCGTGATTCGTAATCCGTGGCAGATGTGTTATTTTCTGATGGGAAATCAATTAATCAAATTTCACAACCCAAGGTCATGGAGCGTGCGTTATATTTCTCAACCTCGTCGATGCGCACAGTGGTCACCAAGGCGAACTGAGGGTTTGCGATAAGCGACACATTAGTACGAGAGACCGGGGATTCGAGCGAGCATTGATGAAGAGAATTGTCAATGCCTGCTCAAATTTCAAATGTGTTGTCTGAACCTAAAGAAACGATCATTTAAAGCTCTTGGTCATTTGCCGAGTCCGTCCCAAGTGGATATAACACCTTGCAGTACGCCTCCTTCTGTACTCGTCTTTTATCGCACTGACGGTGGTTCAGCGAGCGTTAACTATCCGGATGCTGTAATACACATACCACCATTGATTGCGTGTCAAGTCTCGCCATGTCGTGTGCGTCCCATCCACCCGCGTTCCGCATCAAGCTTCACCGTGCCGGTGTCGTGTAAGCCTTACAAAGGTCACATCAGTGACATGACTCGGGCCGCCTTCAGTCTCAATTCAATCAGCGACGCTAGCCATGAGTGCAAACTGAGTACAAAGATCAATCTTTAGAGAAGCTAGTAGCGCAACAGTCGTGCCATGTCCGCAGCAAACACGGTCAGCAGAAATGAAGCAGCGGGTGCCAGGTCACAGAATGAAGCGATCATTCTTAACTGGCGACACGCAACTAGCTTAAGTGGAGAAATTGTATTTGCAGGCTGTGAAGAGACAGATTCAGAGACGCTTCAAATCAGTACAGAACTCACATAGCATGGACTATACCCCCCACACGATATGAATCCCAGCAGCCCAAATTTTGCCATCTGACGATTCTGCCAAATCGATCAAAGTCGTGCCCATAAGGATATAAAAGCTGGTCGTCGTCCTATAGTGTTCCCCCATCCTCGGAAACATCATTCGAGATCTCCCTCAAAAGATTCCATATCACCTCGTACACAAAATGCGTTTCTCTGTCCTCGCCGTTTTTGTTGCTTCGACAACATCTATGTCTGTCAGTGCATGTAGTATAATAGATTGTACAACAGACGCAGATTGCTGCAAGAACTATCCTTGAGAACCTAATGTTGTTGTGAGTGTGAGGAAGTCGCTATGCAACCAGGATTCAACCACATGACTCACCTGCGCGCCTTAAGATTCAATGGCCATGGCCTGCATGGTTCAAGGAAATTGAGCCAGCAGCCTAAGCGGCATGTCGCGACAGTGGGTCATGTTTCCGCTTTCGCTTTCGTATCATGGTTGACAGTGCAAGACCTAGTTAGGAGCCAATCATACAGTGGTTCTCGAACGAATTTTTATGCTGCTCAAGCAATGGATGTTTGAACTTGTCTGAAAATGATCAATCGTGCCTGGTTTCCTCATAGCCCACTAAGCTTGAGTTCGGGGCTGTAGAAATGAGCGATCATTACTGTTGATGATTAATATTAGGAGGTCGAACGCGAACGAAGATGGAACGCACTGCGCAGAGTCGCAGACACTTCCTCACAACCTTTAATCTGTTCGTTTGACGTTGGCCTCGAATGCTGGCTAACGGATCTCTCTATACGCGTGTGATGGAGCCAACGAGACGTCACTTCGTTGCCGACCGTGATTCGTGGCTGACGTGTTATTTTCTGGTATGTAGTTGAAGCCCAAAGTCATATTGGAGCGCGCGCGTTATGATGAAAGTGAAAAAGGGGGCGACAAAGATAAAGATAAAGGAGATTGATATTACTGCGTATGCGGTACTTTCCACCGTGCGGAACTCGAGAGTGATTCTCTTCATCGAGCAAGTGTTGGATGAGGTGCAAGCGACAAAAACACGGCTGACGAGGAAGCGGAACTTGCAAGAGTGATGGTACCTTGATAGTAGTTTTGTCAACACTGTTCATCGCCTCCAAGGAAGTACAGGGTCGTCTGGGTAAAAGTGCGACAAAATACAGTGGATGGGTGAGCTCAAAGCGACTGTCGAAAATATGCGTGAATTTGTCCGATGGCACAGTAAAGTCTTGTGCTATCCAGGGACTATACCAACAACCACCGTCACAGTAGTCCTGACTGGGCGCTGACGAGTTCGTTTGTTTTCGTGTTGACAAATGCAAATTGTGTTCCACCCGCGGCCCTATGCGATTGTGTGGCCTGAAGACGAATATGCCTGTGCGTACACTCATCCCTGCTCCATCTCACTGTGCGGCGTGCCCTCGATCGACCCACTTGAAGTTCCTGCTATTCGAATCAGGATTATCTGTAGGCGCTGGTGTCTGAGGCTCTTGCCCATCCACGTCGATTGTGCTTGCCACTGCGAGTAATACTCGACGAACCATATCTATACTGCATGCGATTGATTAGGATGATCATGAATTGGTTGAAAATGCTTAGAGACTGAATTATTTGAAAGCGTAGGCCATTGTAAATTGAAAATGCAGTTGCCGGACCCTTCCGAGCGGTACTTTAACTCTTCTAAGCAGCACACGACAAAAGGTTGATGAAACTCATGGTTTGATGTTAACATAGCAGTCATGCCTGAAGCATCTCGTGGTTCTTAAATCGCATGGAGATAGGAATTAATATTGCAGGCCGGCTAGGTAAGTTGTTATAGTGAGTGTGGGGAGCAAAACTAATACCTTTAGCCTAGGCTGAGTTTTGATTAAGTGCTGGCACAACTGGCACTTGGCGGATTGGCAAAACTTCCAAACACGTTGCATCAGCGTTTAAATAGCGTTTTGTAATGATGCTATTGATTATTACAGCAATGGCGCAGTGACTAGTAAGCCGTCAACGGCTTTGACGTGGCACCGGTGCACATTACGAATGAGGCAGAACCGTGCCAAAGTCGATATACCTACAAAATGACCTGAAGCGGGACACGTTCTGCAGCCGGCGGCAGTATCATCCGCCAGGCATAACCATTTTGCAGAAACTTTTCGTGATAATATAAAAGCAAGTCCTACCATCACCAGCGTCCACCCCACCCAAAAAAATCATTCGAGCACCTCTACCTCAAACAAACAATGCGGTTCTTCTCCCTCGCCTTTACTGTCGCATTGACAGCATCTATAATGTCTGTCGCAGCAAGGCGACCAACCTGTAGCGCAAATCAGGATAGGTGCAAAAAGAGCAGTGACTGTTGCGATAGCCAAGCTTCCTGCTACGGTAGCGTGTGCGTGCCGTCCGACGATCCTCCACCCTGAGAACCACCCGATCTTCACATAGTGATACACTAGTGAGTGTTTCTGCATTCGCCGCATTAGTTCTGTTGTTGATCGAGCAATACGTAGAACACTGCTGATTGAGAAATGAATAGAGGCGATATTAGCTGGAAGGAGTACGTGATATGAGCGTATGAGGTATACGCGTACTGTTTGATCTTGGGGTAAATAATATCACGGTTCATTGACCAGCCAACCATAATCAAATGCGCGTTAGCTGAAAGACGTGCAGTTTAATCAGGTCAAAAGCCCACTTTTCACCGTTTTTTGTCCGTTCACTCGACAAGACATACAGTTACTCGTACTATTTTCTGTGTCAGTCTCGTTTAACCGTCTAGTTGGAGCTCGACAAGGCGGTGGAGACCTGTGATACAAATCAGCAACTTCAATATTTGGTTTGACGTGGCACTTTGCTTCGTTACAGCCACGTTACGAGTGCATCACTCGCACGACCGAGGCAGTCGTGTCACAGAGCCCCATTTCATTTTTATGAGTAATCCACGAGTGATAGACTTTGATAATGAGAGAAATCAAATGAATTTTAATTGAGGTCGTTCTGACACACAGCAGCGCGCGCTGAGATTTGAATGTGGCGAGGCGGCACGTCAAACGACGCAGCGAAATCTAACCCCAACAGTCATGCACATATGACGAATTCCCGTGGACATTAGTGATGATACTTCAGTGACCAGCGTCCGAGACATGACGTATAATGCATTGAGGATTGTACTGGAGATAGTGTAGGGGGTACAACTACTTGGGTTCAGTTTTGCGGGGTTGCAACTAGCAGAACTCTAGGCTACATGAAGACTGTGTGCGCGACGTTGGGCGTAACCAGTTTGGCACAACCGGTTGGCAAAACTGCAAGTAACATCCCCGCACCCGCATTGTGGAGACTCCGCAATGAGAAGCGTCCAACGACAATATATCATTTTATGTTCTCTCGCTTGCTTATTCCCCACCGCAATATACACTCGTTCGCTAAAGAAATGGGGAAAATAAAACGTAATTGAGTGGGGCTAATATAAAAACAGACATTTTCCTACCGTCACCAGCATCCACCCACCTCAAAAACATCATTCGAGCCCTCAACAGATCATACTATCTCAAACAAACAATGCGTTTCTTCATCCTCACCTTTATTGTTGCGTTGACAGCAATGTCTGTCACAGCAAGGTCACCACTCTGTAGTGGACGTGACAGGCCTTGCGTACAGAATAGTGACTGCTGCGATAAATTAGCTCTCTGCGGTGGCGGTATATGCATCACTCCCGACTAGGGCATCTCGCCTTAGAGGAAGCCGATTTACACATGGCGACACCTTAGTAAGTGTTTCCACTTTGCCATTGGTGTTATTCTTAATTGAACAGTACGTAGGATGCCCCTGATTGAGAAATAAATGGAGGCGATATTGAGTGGAAGGAGGACGTGATATGAGTGTACGAGGTATCTGCGTATTACTGTTGGGTTTGAGGTAAACAGAGCACCATGGGTTGGACCTGCCAGAGATAGATCCAAGGATTATTAGCCACAAGACGTTGATCAGATCGAAAGCCCACTTTTTCACCCGCTTTTACTCGTTCACTCGACGTCCAGGTCGATAGAGTG